CCCGGAATTGCGGGAGGTAGTATGATGTAAGTGAAATTTTTTTTTTGTTGCACTACTTATGATTGCCAGTGTATGTAAGATTAACTTACACAGGTAAAATCCTGATACAATTAAAACTTGAAATTTCACTTATAGTCTTAATTTGTATACATGTATAAAAATTAAATTAAAACTTGCAATACGTATTTACTTTATGCACTCATAACCGATAGCACTATTAGCATGTTCATTTACATTCATCTCTATCAATTTTAAATTAGTGCACTGATTATAATACATGTATTGGCCAAAGTAATTAACCTTTTAGCATTCGATCTAAATTCTAGGCAATCAGAAACAAACCATATTATATTATGCATATCAGGAGTTATAATTAAATGAATTTAATTAGAATTTATAAAACTTTTTACTATTTTTTAAATGCATAACAAAATTATATACCCTTTTTTTATTATATATTATATTACAATATAGAGGAAAGTAAACAAAGCCAAATAGATAAAATAAGAATGTGTGTCGAAAGATAAATTAAGTTCCATGCGATTAATGCGGTTCAAAAGCAAATTCAGTTCTGATATTTGCACCGGTTCTCCAAGTAGACCAGTTATACGACAAAAGTTTTTTAGAGCAGCCCGAGTATGAAAGATCTCTTTTAATCTACTCACGCCACAATTTCCGTATAAATTTAATACCATTAACATATTATTTATATAAAGAGACTTTGCCAAAATTTTTCTGACTTCAAAGTCAATCCCATTACTTGAAAGATCTAAGTAAATTAAAGTAGAATTTACGCAAAGAGCATTTGCAAAAGCTTTTCCTCCTTCAAGACCAATATTATTAAAGCCAATATTTAAAAATGTTAAAGTAGTGTTTATGCAAAGAGCATTTGCTAATTCTTTTCCTACTTCAGAGTCAAGCCCATTATGAGAAAGATATAAGGAAGTTAGAGTAGTATTTATGCAAAGAGCCTCAGCTAATGCCTTTCCTCCTTCAAAGCCAATCATATTGTTTAAGAAAGTTAGAGTAGTGTTTACGTAAAAAGCCTCTGCCAATGCTTTTCCTCCTACAAAATCAATCATATTATAGCTAACATTTAAAGATGTCAAAGCACTATTTTTACGAAGAGCCTCTGCCAATGCCGTTTCTTCTTGAAAACTAATTTCATTATCACTAATATTTAAAGAAGTTAAAGTACCATTTTTACAAAAAGTCGATAATACCGTTCCTCCTTTAAGACCAATATTATTGCCACTAATATTTAAGGAAGTTAGGGTTGTGTTTATGAGAAGAGCCTCAGATAATGCTTTTGCTCCTTCAAAGCCAATAGCATTCTTGTTAATACTCAAAGATTTTAGGGTAGTGTTTATGCAAAGAGCCTCTGCTAATGCTTTGCTTCCTTTAAAATTAATCTCATTATTTCGAACATCTAATGAAGTCAAGGATCTATTTTTATGAAGAACCACTGCAAGTGCCTCTACTCCTTCAGAACCAATCTTATTAAATCCAATATTTAAGTCGGTTAAAGTAGGACCAAGAGTATTAAACGAAAGATTCAAATAAGTTAATGTTGTATTTTTAGTAATAATCTTTATAATAAACTCTTGGTCTAAATTATTGAAACAAACAAAGATTTAAGTTGATGACAGATTATTCATATAAAGACTTTGTTTATATAAAGACTTTCAAATATTATCTTACCTTCAAGCTCTAAATATTTAAGTTTTCCAATTCGTAAAAACATTGCGATTAAAGAATATCTAGTAGCACATACAATCTTATCATCTTCATCATATTATTTGTTAATACTGCGTCTTTTGTTATTAAGCCAATTAATGATTCCATAGGTTATATTAAAACTAACAGAAGTAGTATAGCTCGCATAATCAAAAAATGTTCTCAAATAATTTGGAAGAATAATTTTAAAGGGAATTAATGTAGCTTGTTCTTTAGCATTTAATACTGAAAGATAAATTTTTATAAGTCGTCCATCGAAAAATATTTTATTGGTTCGCTCCATAATATTGGCACAATAATTTTACATCATTGATGGTTTACAAGAAGGCATGAAAGCAAGCTTTTATAATCAGTTCGGATATACTTGACAGATTCAGAAAGAATTTCGTTAAGAAACGTCATTTTGAAAAAAAAAATTTGGTACATTCGAGCATGTACGCACATGCATATGTACGACGTGGATATTGCGAAAATGCTGTGAAACATTGTATGATTCATGTGCCTGACTATATAAAATAATCTTGTAATTTATTGAATTTACAATTTAGATTTCGATAAGCGGGACACCAAGAACAATAAACCCAGTGATCGTTACATAATGTGAAATTATAAATAACGTCATTTGTTTACGTACGTACGTACATGCACTAACAAATTGGCCTAAACTATACTATCACCTGGGATCTTTGCTAACAAAATGACTCTCCGAGGTTATGTTGATTTTGTGAATAAAAATTAAATTTGCTGGCCATCTAGTAATCCAATTTGAATAAACTTTTTTTTATTTTGTAAATCTCAATAGATTCTACAAATAAAAAAATTTCATTCAACTTGGATAACTAGATAGCTGGCAAATTTAATTTTATTCACAAAATCAACATAACCTCGGAGGGTCATTTGTTAGCAAAGATCCCACCTAATCCCAACACTAACCCTAACTTAGACTGAGTGTTTAATCATGTGATGTGATGAGCACGAAGATATCACTAGGTTCACTGTTCTTGAAACTACCCTTGATAAGTATATATATTTGCTTCGCTAACAAATTTTCAGCTAAAACTTAACTTTTTAATTTTTAATTACAAATAAAGATTTTGGGAAGTCGGCCTGTGTTATGATAAAATTAGCTAGGAATTTTTTTTCATTTAATGGAAGGTTGTTATTTCATTAGTAAATTTTGATGAACTCTGGCTAAATTTTCGATGATCGTTCTTAGCAGATCATGATTGAAAAACCTGCCACTACAATTTTGATGCAATAGCCAGGTTTATAGAAAAAATATTCTATAGTTGCGAAATTCCTGAAAAATTGTAATTATACAAAAAAATAGATCAAAAATGTATTAGCTGATCTTTGAAATTTGCTCTTTTATTCGAACCCTAAAATCTATTGAAAGTACAAATCTGCAAAAAATACATCCAAGTTAGGTAACAATGACAAATTATTTTAATATAAGCGGAAAAAATTATGCTTAGTTAAATAAACTATGGCACAATTTACTAAGATTCAACAACTTTTACAATAGCTCGAGATAAGCTTTGATGCGAATAACTTTCATGCTTTATTCTCATATTGTTCGCAACCACGAAAGCTTTGATAAAGATAATTGGAAAAGTTTAATTCAATTTGACAAAAATTGGGAAGCCCTTGGTTTCAAAAAAGCTAAGGAAATTTATTCTTCTATGAATAAGAATAAAGGGTGCCAGAGTACCAAGTTATTTACTAAAGGGTTTTCTAATGAATCCGGAAAAAAGCAAGCAAAACCACGTCCTCAATACAAGTATAATCATTCTAATTCAATAAGTCAATGGAAATGTCATAATTGTGGTTTCAATCCAAACCGTGTATGGTGTGTCAGATGCTATAAGTGTAATGCATTCAGGTCAGACCTTAATCTTAAAACCTTTGATCCTTATAAGATGCCATCTATGGCGATAAGTGAATATGATAAAAATCTTTTGAGAACCGAAATCATCCGGGCAAAAGGATAAAGCAGAAGAAGTCAAAAGACTAGGTTATAAATATCTTGAGTGGCAAAATTACTGGAAAAAAATTCCCAATGAAGTGGTAAATTGCAGAAAATTTAGTCATAAAACACAGGAAAGTTTGTATAGTGAAACTAGACATAGAAGTCTTGCATGGTGTGATATTTGTAAATATTACTATCATTTTGATTGGAGTGTAAGTATTATTTACATAGATATATTTTATGATAATTTTCGAAAATATATACTGTATGACTAAATTCATGTTACTTTAGGGTTATGATTAACAGGACTTGAATTTATCCTTTTCATGTTGCATTAAGGTTAGGATAGGTTGTAGCTATAGCTTTATGAATTATGTGTATGTACTATCTTTGTTCTGTACTGCAAAGCGCATTTTATAACATGCTTGTGTTTATATTCGTAAATATTGAGTTATGTTTGTTTTCACATTCTATAAATATATGCTATTTTATAAACGTATGAAATATAATTTTTTGTCTGCATTCACTAATGTACGTGTACAAGCTTTCTTTTCGTTTATAATGATGACAAATTGATTTACAAAGGATCTCATGAAATTAGCCAACAAGCTTTTTCATGCCTTTAGGTTTCTTTAGTTGCTGTGTGATATAGTCGTGCTAAAACAAGAACTGCAATATGCTTTAGAATAGGGTTAAAAATATCATATCGACGAATTTGTGGAATTGCGGCTAAATAGATTTTAACAATGTGATTATAAAACAGACAAAAGTTTCAACTATTATGCATCCTACAATTGTTAAATCTTGGGAATCTAAATTAGGCCCAATTCCGCAAATCCGCCGATATGTTTTGGTTTTCGAATCTACAAGGTAGCATGATTATATTTGTAATGTGTTTATTTAGTTTTGGATTTCAACATTACAAAAAAAATTTTTATCATTAATTTTTTGTAAAAATATGAAATGTCCATAAATCAACTTGGGATTTTATTTCACCTAAAATCATATTTCTAATTTACCTTGAAATTCTCAATAGTCAATAGCTTGAACATATTATAAAGTCGATTGAATCTTGAAAAAAAGAAGTGTAACCATAAACATACTACGTAATAACTATACAGTAAGTTGATGATATGATTGAGCTACAGTAACTAAGGGATTTTCATGCATTTCTTTCAGTAGATCAGAGGCAAAATTTTAATTAGACGATAATTGAATAAATTAACAAAGCTAGCCATATCTCGATTAATGCAGATTCCATTAAGAAGCTCTTAACCTGCTTGAGAACACTCTAAATATATGCATGATCTTTTCTTTCTCGAATAAACTATCATTATTTTTAGTATAAACGTTTTAGTTTGTACGTATTAGCCAGTACCCATGTCTTCGGCACGGGATTTTATAAAATTATATTACTGTATTGTTGAAAATAGTGATTTATAATCAATATTAATTTAATGCATATAAGAAGCTAAATATTTGGCATAAAATAGCCATTATATTTATGGACCAAGTTAATGTAAATAGAACTTTAATTGACAATCAATACAGTCAGACCCTTATAACTGCACCCTCCAAAAATTCACTCAGCTCAATTGATAATGAACTACTGTGTTCACTCACTAAATTAATGTGAATAAAAAGACAAATAAGACATGATTTATTATAGATAAATGAACATTGTTATGCGAATAAAGGAAAGTAATATTAAATTATCAATTCTCAAATATTAATATCTACTCTTGACTCACATATTACAAGAGATCATTATGAGTTGAAACACTACACTGGTTACTTTATGATGAACAAATAATTCATAACATTGAATAACTTAAAATATACTTCTGGGCTAATTTTGCTTGTACCCAAATTTATAGAGTATTAACTGATTGGTAGCAGCTAGATTTTTATTTGACTGATATATTGTATATCGGCATAAAAACGTAACGAGATTATTGATCAGATATTATCAGTTTTTATGGTCAAAAAAAAAGTCCAATAAAAAAATTAGCTCAGACGATTATAAATATTTATACTTGCTAAATTAATGCAATTAAATAGAGCATACACTAAAATCATTTGTTTATCGAATAGGTGAGTTATGCTGATTGACGTATGATAGTGATAGTAATTATAGTACTTTTTTTTTAAAGAAAAAAGAAAAAATAAGATAATTCTTTTCTATAATATATAAAATGTTCAAAACCAGTGAGTATTATATAAATTTTATAATATAGTATTTGGTAATCTGCGATAATTTATATCCGACATAATCACAAGTATTTGACTATTGAAATTTTTGATTACACAAAAATATCTATGCTGTTGAGAAACCAGGAGCAACTCGCACTCAGTATCGGGATTAGATATCAGGAGCATCAACTCTCACTCAATATCAGGAGAAACAGCTCAGTATCGGGGATAGTTATCGGTTATGGTCGCAGTCCTAGTCTTTCATAGCCAACTAAGCCGCACAGCTAAATAACCGGTTATAGTAATAGCCGATATTAATATTTAGTTTATTATTATATTATTGTTATTGGAGGTTGTTTGGCTCATTATACATCATTATACACATCGATCTTTGTCAAACCGATCAAATTGCAGATCAAATGACTGCAAATTTGACGTTGCCATCAACAGTAGTATTTTTATATGAATATGAAAAATTTTAAATCCATTGGAAAAGAATAATTTTCAAGGAAATCAGCCATGTATCCTATTGAAAATAAGGTGAGGCATAAAATGGTAAGAATTGAATATTCTTTTGATTTTCCAGGCGCTATCAATTTGTTATTAAAGAATGACTCAAGAAGTCTACTGTCTCTAGTATTTAGGGTGTACAATGTATATATGCTTTAGGGTGAATATATCTGTCATACGTATTCGATCGATAACTAATAATAATAAAAGTAGATATTAAATGCATGTAAACAAAAATTCATTATCCATAATCGATCGTATCAGATTAGTACACCAATCTTTTCTTAGTTTGGTTCCCAAATATCTTCGCTTAATTATTTATTTAAATTTAATTAAATTTTTGCCAATTAATATTTTTAGCATATCCTCATAAAAAACAAAAAAAAAAACTAAGTATTTAATCAGTAACAATTGAAAAAATGAAAATATTATATGAGCTGCCACATTTCCTATTTTATCCAAAAAGGAAATTGTTTATTCCAACATTTTTATATAGCACGTACAATTTATAAGATATGTAATGAACGTAATAATTCGAATATTCTTTTAAATATATTAGTTTATTTAAATAATATCAATTAATAAAAGTTCTTTTTACTACTTATAAATCAATATAAACACCGATTAAATTACTAAGATGAATGGTATTTTTCTTAACAAATTGATGATTATTTAAATAGCAAGCTAATATTATAATAAATTACTTATAAAATTTTTGCAGGTTTCCAGATTCTGGGATATGAATTTTAATATTTAAAATTTTTTAAACATAAAATTTTTTGATAAATAAAAAAAAACGGGTGGGCAGGTGAGAAAATTCTTAAATATTATGAAAACCAATTACTAAATTTTGTATAACCTAAATTATAATTTGTACTAATTTTAAAAACATATTAATATTTAAATATATTTAATATATTTTTTTAATATATTTTTTAAGAATATATTTTAGATTTACTTGTGAAAACAAAGATATTTTATACTAATAACTATTATGCCCAAGAAAATGTAAAGTTGAATTTAGTAAACTAAAGGATATTATTTTTGACGCAGGAATATCGGATGTGTTGTCAGGTGCTTTCCATTGCGAGATAGTAGGTGGGTGAACAGAGAATGAATTAACTTTCCTATCATTGACTACTAAACTAACAGAAAAATCAACTGGCCCAAGTGGAATCACGGGATCAAGTAGTTCTATTAATTTACAGGCTCCCGAATATGAAACAGCATAAGCATGCAGACACATTGGAACTACAGATTTATATAATCTATGGACAGAAGAACTTCTTCCGACTTGCTCACCGACAGGTTCAAAGCAATGACCTATGTATAAGGTTTCCCAGGAAGCAGGTAAATCACGATGAATATCCGTCATAATAGCAGTAATGTTAAGTTCAAAGTCTGCATCATCTTCTAAAATTAAGGCATTATTATAGCCCTTATAAATTATTTCTTTATAGATAAAATAATGACTTAAATAACAAGCTTTTTGAGAAGGGGTCATAAATGCGGTTCCATACTTGCGGAGAATTTGTTCATCATTTTTAGAAATAGCAGAAAAATAATCAAAGTCTAAACCAAGATAGGAAGCTATTTTATCTAATCTTTCACGCCTATCGGTTCGATAGTCAAGATGGATAACGTAAATATGGTCAAAGCCAAGTGTGCGATTAGAGGATTTAAATAGTTTTTGTAAATTTAACTTTTCAGAATAATCAAAAAATGGCCGGAGCCAGAAACTTAAATATATTATTAATACAATAATTAGGAAATTGATATATATTTTTATCGCATATCTGCTATTTTGGTGCCATTTTAGCATAGTTATTAACGAATAATCAGAATTCATATTACAATCAATAATTGTTGAAAACATTCGAATAAAATGCTATTTTATATTTGAATTTTGCTATTTATCACCACTGGTGATCATCACCGGTGTTGCTATATCTCAAAAACGTACTAAGTAAACGGG